TGTTATTGTTCTGACTGTTCTATTGTTATTATTCTGACTGTTCTGTTGTTATTATTCTGACTGTTTTTATTGTTCTGACTGTTCTATTGTTATTATTCTGACTGTTCTGTTTATTATTCTGACTGTTCTGTTTTTAACTATTTGTTTCAGATCATGTTTTGTATGTATTATGTTTTGTCCTTTCTATGGACTCCAGGAAGATTAGCGGCTGCGAAGGCGTCAGCTAATGGGGATCCAGTTAATAAACAATAAACAATAAATGTTAGCTAGTAACGGCTAACATTAGCCGTTACTAGCTAATGATAGCTGACAGACAACAGTTCACACAAAGCAGGTAAGAAGAGTTATTACTACAAATATATTAAAATATTTTATTTGACGTTCAACTATCAACTTTATGTAGTTAAAGTATCAGTAGTACAAGTACACAAGTATCAGGTTTATGTAGTTAAATTATCAGTAGTATGTACTAATACCACGTTGTAAAAATACTCTGTTACAGTAAAGGTACTAATACCAAACTGTAAAATACTATGTTACAGTAGAAGTACTAATACTACACTATATAAATACTGTGTTACAGCAGAAGTACTAATACTACACTATATAAATACTGTGTTACAGTAGAAGTACGAATACTACACTATATAAATACTATGTTACAGTAGAAGTACTAATACTACACTATATAAATACTGTGTTACAGTAGAAGTACTAATACTACACTATATAAATACTATGTTACAGTAGAAGTACTAATACTACACTATATAAATACTGTGTTACAGTAGAAGTACTAATACTACACTATATAAATACTATGGTACATTAGAAGTACTAAATCTCTCTGTTAAAGGTGTGAGTTGGGTAAAATGGCTCCCCCGACCTCCCATGATGCCTTGCACCCCGACCAATGGCAGCCCTGTCCCGTATGATGTCACGGCGGTATAAAGCCCCCCCGCCCGGCTCCAGGCTCTGTCTCAGCGTTCCCAGCCTGGATGCCTCGGCTGGTGGAACTGCTGTCAGGAGAAAAAACAAAACTACAGCGTCAACTGTAGTTTTGTTTTTTTGGTGGATCGGGTCTTTGGAGGTTCAGGTTCTGGATTTTGGGAACTAAACTTTGTGGATAAAGAGACTTTTGTGTGAGAGAAGAACCCGACGGCATCCTTGTGCAGACAAGTAAGTGTTTAAAGTAGATAGATGAGCAGCAGTCTCTCTCACCAGACTCCATTCATTTTGTGTTTCTTTTAAGAAACTACAGCCGACACATTGAGACGGGATTCTGCTGCTTCCCCCCCACTGAAGGTTATAACGGGACGTCCCAGAATAGACCTGATAGCATCAGACTGGACCCCCTCAGCCGGCTGATGGCTTTTTAAGGGAATCAGCAGCACAGATATCAGTTGCTCCTCCAGCTATGTGCCACATGGTGGCTGTCAATCAAACCGTGTGTGTGGGTGGGTGGGGGGGTATTTATAGAGCTGGTGTCCTGTGTTAGATAAACCAAGTGTCTCACTTCACTGGAGCTTTTATTTTGGAGGAGAGGGAACAGCTGTTGGTTTGTTATTTTTAGGTTTTAGTGGAGTCAACCTGCAGCTGTTGTCTTATTTTGAAGGATTTCACTTTTATTTTGAATGTTTCATCCTGCTGCCTCTTAATATCACGACGACAATTCAATCTTCTATTTATAGAGAAATATATTTATTCATATTTGTGCATTTGATGGACATTAGACTCAACAGACATCATTCAGTGTTTCAGTTATTTTATTATTACAAAGTCTTTAAAACATGCTGGCTTTACTTTCAAAAATCATTTAAAACGTTACTAAAACTAATCTTCAAAGTAAAAAGTACAATATTTACAATGTTCCATTATTCATGTTGAAGTATGAAGTAGCAGAGAGTAGAAGTACTCGGGGAAAGTAAAAGTACCTCTCTGACTTTAAGAAGATGTTGAACAGATCTGATCTGATGAGGCGTTCAGGGACCCTCAGAAACCAGACTACTCCTCTGAAACCTCAAACCATCATGAGAACGGGACTCTTTAAGTTAAAGAGACATAAATCTGATTCTATATTAAACTAGACGATCTAAAAGATCACATCTGTAACTTAGACACTCTAAATGAATCTTAATGAATCTCTCACACACACACACACAGACTCACACACACACAGAGACACACACACACACACACACACACACACACATACACACACACAGAGACACACACACAGACACACACAGACTCACACACACACACACACATACACCCACCCAGAGACACACACACACATACACCCACCCACGCACACACACACATACAGCCACACACACATACACACACACACACACACACACACACACACACACACACAAACACACACACACACACACACACACACACAAACACAAACACACACACACCTTTATCTGAGTCAAAGGCAATACATATTTTTATGGGATTAAATGTAAAATCTCATTTCAAAAAGTATTTGACTTTACTTTTAATTCACACATTAATTTGTAATAATCAATAATTCCTTTAATAGTTTGAGTTTTAGGGATTTTAAATCAAATTATAAATGTTCATGTACTTTTAATAAATAAATGGATTGTGATATTTTAAGGCTTTTCTTAACGGATTATTAACGTGTAAAGAAAACTTTAAATGTACAAAATGTAATTTTATGGATTCACTTGATATTTGTATATTTATGAGTATTTAATTTAAGGGGCACAAAGTTCCGTCACTGTTCCACCTTATTTCAATGTTTTGATGTTAATCTATAAAAGAACAGATCATCACATGTTTACACATTTTATCTCCAGTTTAAGGAAAGAAACTTTAAATTGACTAAAAAGTGTGAGAAACATCTCTGAAGTTCCACCTTAAAAAGCAGATTCAGTTCTCATGTATTTATTTATTCATATTTTACAGTTTGAAACAGGAACCAGAGCATGTTTGACTTTTAATAATTAATAAGCAATTACATTTATGATGATTGACTAATTGATTATTTAATTGTAATAAATATATGAAGGATAACAACAGAACATTAGAACATAAAAACTGTACGATAATAAACATCATAAAGTTTAAACAAACAAAACAACAAACAAATTACTATTATTAATTAATTTAAAAAGATAAACATAAACAAGTTGTAATAACAAACTTCTTGACTTTGAGTTCAGAGTTTTCAGATGTTCTGACCAATCAGAGGTGTTTTATTACCTTTAATAACCAGGAAGTGACCATGTCTAGACCAGAACCTGGAGGATCCCAGGACCATTAGGGCCAATTAGGAAATAAACAGGGACAACCAGAGACAACCATGTCCAATCAGTGAAAACCAGAGACCACCAGGGACAATCAGAAATAAACAGGTCCAACCAGATACAACAGGGTCAATCAGAGACCACCAGGGCCAATCAGAGACAACAAGGTCAACGAGAGACCGCCAGGGACAACCAGAGACAACCAGGGATAGTCAGGGCCAACCAAGGCCAATCATAGACAACCAGGGCCAATGGTAGACAATCAGGACCAATTGTAGACAACCAGGGACAATCAGGGCCAACCAGGGACAATCGTAGACAACCAGGGCCAATCGTAGACAACCAGGGACAATCAGGAACAATCAGGGACAACCAGAGACAACCAGGGACAGTCAGGGACAGTCAGGGCCAATCATAGACAACCAGGGCCAATGGTAGACAATCAGGACCAATCGTAGACAACCAGGGACAATCAGGGCCAACCAGGGACAATCGTAGGCAACCAGGGACAATCGTAGACAACCAGGGTCAATCGTAGACAACCAGGGCCAATCGTAGACAACCAGGGACAATCAGGAACAATCAGGGACAACTAGAGACAATCAGGGACAGTCAGGGTATGAAACAAGTAGCCCTTTGTACTACTCAGTACCCTTGAAGTAGCTCTCAGTTTCATAAAGGTTGGTGACCCCTGGCCGAGAAGCAGTCGTTCCGTCTCTTACGCTCTCTTTCATTCGTTCTCTACTTTTTAAAACTAAAATCCATCAAAGTTACAAGAACTATTTCTAAAAACTATTTTTTTACTTTTAACGAAGAAAAAACTAGATGTTGTCTAAATATCATACAATGTTTGATTTAATGGGGAACTTTAAACGGATTACATCGTAATGGGTTTTCCAGGTGTTTGGGGGGGGAACCACCCGACTCCCCGAGTTGCATTGTGGGTAATGTAGGCTCGAGGTTTTAACGAAGAATGAGTGGAATAAAAAATAAGATCTCTGATTTGTGGAGTACTCCTTTAAATCTAGAGCGATCTGATCAAACAATAATCAATAATAATCACTCATCAGAAATACAGAAACTATAGATACACGTCATGTGTTTTATTTTGAAAGACTGTCTTGTCCTCATGGTGATTCAGTCGAGTCAGTTTCATTATTTTTAAAACGCAGCTCAAAACTGTCGTTAATGTTAATTTATAATATTTTATATATTGATATTTGTAACAAGATCAAAAGGCCTGAACAAGTTTTTTTTCTTTCTCCACCTCGCTCTGTGGTGAATGTGTATTTCCCAGCATGCAACAGTGTGTAGTGTTGGTTATTGCGACGATCTTTGTTTGTTCTTTCAGTAATGATGTAATGTTTTAATGGGATAACTGTGTAAATAAATCCATGTTACACAGTATTATATTTAACAGGCAGGACGACTGAGGGAAAACAACGATGGTATAATTGAAGGAGAAAAGTAAACTTTGTGTTTTATCATCTTTCTTTGTTTGTTTGTCTGCAGGGTGCCGACCAACATGTCAACACAGGCGCCGACGTTCACGCAGCCGCTGCAGAGCGTCGTGGCACTAGAGGGTAGTGCTGCGACATTCGAGGCTCAAGTTAGTGGTAAGAAAGCCTCAAACCTCTGATTTTAACATTTAATACATTTACAGTTATCGTTACTAGAATTCTCTTGTTGTGATGGATCAAATAAATTCAACCACAGTTGCTAATGGTTCTAACAGGTCTGGTTCTTCTCTCCTCTGCAGGTTCTCCGGTTCCTGAGGTGAGCTGGTTTCGTGATGGTCAGGTTCTTTCCGTTGCGGCTTTGCCCGGCATTCAGATCTTGTTCAGCGACGGCCGCGCTGTTCTGAGGATCCCCACCGTGACCGCCGCACACAGCGGAAGGTTTTCTGTCAGAGCCACCAACGGAGCTGGACAAGCCACGAGCACCGCTGAACTCCTCGTTACAGGTGAGACACACAAAACTACCACAAAGATATGTAAAACAACCTCAAAGAGATGTAAAACTACCACAAAGAGATGTAAAACAGTCTCAGAGATGTAAAACTACCACAAAGAGATGTAAAACAACCACAAAGAGATGTAAAACAACCTCAAAGAGATGTAAAACTACCTCAAAGTGATGTAAAACAACCTCAAAGAGATGTAAAACCACAACAAAGAGATGTAAAACCTCAAAGAGATGTAAAACTACCTCAAAGAGACGTAAAACTACCACAAAGAGATGTAAAACAACCACAAAGAGATGTAAAACAACCTCAAAGAGATGTAAAACTACCTCAAAGAGATATAAAACTACCACGCAGAGATGTAAAACTACCACAAAGAGATGTAAAACCACAACAAGGATATGTAAAACAACCTCAAAGAGATGTAAAACTACCACAAAGAGATGTTAAACTACTACGCAGAGATGTAAAACAACCTCAAAGAGATGTAAAACTACAACAAAGAGATGTAAAACAACCTCAAAGAGATGTAAAACTAACTCAAAGAGATATAAAACTACCACGCAGAGATGTAAAACTACCACAAAGAGATGTAAAACTACCACAAAGAGATGTAAAACAATCTCAAAGAGATGTAAAACCACAACAAAGAGATGTAAAACTAACTCAAAGAGATATAAAACTACCACGCAGAGATGTAAAACTACCACAAAGAGATGTAAAACAACCTCAAAGAGATGTAAAACTACCTCAAAGAGATGTAAAACCACAACAAAGAGATGTAAAAGAACCACAACAAAGAGGTGTAAAAGAACCACAACAAAGAGATGTAAAACCACTACAAAGAGATGTAAAAGAACCACAACAAAGAGATGTAAAACTACCACGCAGAGATGTAAAACTACCACAAAGACACTTAAAACAACAAAGACAGTAATACTATCTATTATAAAGTTACCAAAGGAATAATGAAGACAAGATGTTGAAAATGATATAAATGTTAATCTTGTCTACGCTCTTTAGATAAGTCAAAGTTAAACTTCAGTCTGAATCTAAGTTTACCTCTCAGCTGAGGGGGCGTGGCCTGTTACTTAATCAGGTGATAAAACCGATATAGATGCTGCAGCATAACCTCCCTTAAGAGGAATCTCAAGTTGATGAAGAGATTAACAACTTGAACTAGAAAGGATCGCGTGTCTGTTAAAACATCCTCAAATAGTTAAATGATGAAGCAGCTTAAACATGTGAAAGAGGGGTTCATCTTTTATTATACTGGACTCTGGTCTTCTTCTCCTTCTCCTTCTTCTCCCTCTTCTTTCTTCTCCTTCTTCTCCCTTTCCTTCTTCTCCTTCTCCTTCTTCTCCTTCTCCCTCTTCTTTCTTCTCCTTCTTCTCCCTTTCCTTCTTCTCCTTCTCCCTCTTCTTCCTTCTCCTTCTCCTTCTTCTCCGTCTCCCTCTTCTTCCTTCTTCTCCTTCTTCTTCTCCTTCTCCCTCTTCTTCTTCTCCTTATCCCTCTTCTTCTCCTTCTTCTCCCTCTTCTTCCTCCTCCTTCTTCTTCTTCTTCTTCTTCTCATTCTTCTTCCTCTTCTTCCCTCTTCTTCTCCTTCTTCCTTCTCCCTCTCCTTCTTCTCCTTCTCCCTCTCCTTCTTCTTCCTCTTCTTCCCTCTTCTTCTTCTCCTTCTCCCTCTTCTTCCCTCTCCCTCTTCTTCCTTCTTCTCCTTCTTCTCCCTCTTCTTCTTCTCCTTCTTCTTCCTCTTCTTCCCTCTCCTTCTTCTCCTTATCCCTCTTCTTCTCCTTCTTCTCCTTCTCCCTCTTCTTCCTCCTCCTTCTTCTTCTTCTCCTTCTTCTTCCTCTTCTTCCCTCTCCTTCGTCTCCTCCCTCTTCTTCTCCTTCCTTCTCCCTCTCCTTCTTCTTCTTCCTCTTCTTCCCTCTTCTTCTCCTTCTCCCTCTTCTTCCCTCTCCCTCTTCTTCCTTCTCCTTCTTCTTCTTCTCCCTCTTCTTCCCTCTCCTTCTTCTCCTTCTCCCTCTTCTTCTCCTTCTCCCTCTTCTTCCTCCTCCTTCTTCCTCTTCTTCTCCTTCTTCCTTCTCCCTCTCCTTCTTCTCCTTCTCCGTCTCCTTCTTCTTCCCTCTTCTTCTTCTCCCTCTTCTTCCTTCTCCTTCTTCTTCCTCTTCTTCCCTCTCCTTCTTCTTCTCCTTCTCCCTCTTCTTCTCCTTCCCTCCAGCTGAGACGGCGCCCCCTAACTTCCTCCAGAGGCTGCAGAGCTCCACGGTGAGACAAGGCAGCCGGGTGAAGTTGGACGTTCGAGTCTCCGGCATCCCGCCGCCCGCCGTGAAGTTCTACCGAGAGGGAGCCGAGATCCAGAGCTCGGCCGACTTCAGGATTCTCCAGGAGGGAGAGCTGTACAGTCTGCTGATCGCCGAGGCTTTCCCCGAGGATTCTGGGACATATTCTGTGACCGCCTCCAACAGCAGTGGACGAGCCACCTCCACCTGTGAGCTGCTGGTTCAGGGTGAGGCCATCAGAGACCAGTTTAAGATCCCTTTGATATGTTTATACGTGATGTAGATCAACTTCTTCTCCTTCTTCTTCCTCCTCCTGATTCTTCCTCTTCTTCTCCTTCTTGTTCTCCTTCTTCTTCTTCTTCTTGTTCTCCTTCTTGTTCTCCTTCTTCCTCCTCCTGATTCTTCCTCTTCTTCTTCTTCTTCTCCTTCTTATTCTTCTTCTCCTTCTTCTTCTCCTTCTTCTTATTCTCCTTCTTCCTCCTCCTGATTCTTCCTCTTCTTCTCCTTCTTCTTCTCCTTCTTCCACCACCAACCAGGTGATCCCTTCGATATGTCAGATGTAACCTACAGGTGTGTTTGTGCTGCAGGTGAGGAAGCCGTACCGATGAAGAAAACCAAGACTATTTCGTCCTCGACCCAGATGTCCTCGTCTCAGACCGGAGTCCAGAGGGTGAGACACATCTGTTCTCTGTTTTGGGGCGAGATTTTAAATGAGACATGAAGAATAAAAATGATCAAATATATAAAATGCAGTGGCGGGCCGTGCATCTGATACCTGGGCCTTCTGTGCTGCTGAGCTACGGTTATTTGTTTCTATGGCGTAACAATACACGTATTTGTATTAAACCGTTCGGTACGAGGCTTACGAAGCGAACAATACATTTGAATAATACTGGTGCATTTGGAAGATGCAGAAGCTTAAATTGTGGGAAATATAATGTTTTCGTTGGACTGCGCTCACTTAACAGACAACGTGCCGTGACCTCTGAACCCGGAACAATAACAAAAAACAGCTGAGGCCCCGCATGTGTTCAGGGAGGCTAAGCTAACTAGCTTAGCGGGGAAGCAACAGCAGTTAGCTGTTCACTACTGATTCAAACAGAGAATCAAATGTCCGAAATAAACCTGCGATGACGGGATGCTTCGTCATTAACGGACAAGTCAGAATCAATGTAATTAACACAATGACGAGAACCAGTCACATATATTTATATGACAACATAAGATGTCAAGCATGACAAATCAACCCAGCAACACAGCAGCGCTAGAGCACGAGCCATTCATATTATTCATAAAAACAACACGATAGACAAATGAACAGTAGTAACGCTAAAGCAGTTCACTGACCACAGCTGCTGTTCACTTAAAGACAAAGTCCATCCTCCTTTCTTTGTTAACAAAGAGTTTAATGACGCGGTTGTACAGAACATCGGTGCGGGTCAGTTCCAGCCAGAGGTCCTCCTGTGAACGTGTTCGTTGAGTTGTAGATCCACTCGGGTCTCTCCAAAAGTTTTCAAAAGCACGTAGCTTTTGCGTGTCCTGTCGTGTAGCTGCCTTGGTTAGCATAGCGTAGCTCCAAACAGCTCCAAACACCAAGAGCTCAGTTGCAAATGAAACGCATCCTTAGCCATAACATGTGTCACGCTTCTCCAACGCTGTCAGACAGAAATACTGTTCATACAAATGCTTTTCCTGGCTGGGTCAGGGCTGCTAGCTGTGGGGTTGACCGACCCTTTGATACGATGTCCAACTTTTCTGGAAATGTCCTCCAGAAATCTGTTTCTCCTCCTTCAGCCATTGAGTGTTAAACACACAGCAAGAAAAATGCTAAAAATGTCATAACTTCTCTTACATATGTTTCAACCTGAACTCTTACTAAACACTAAGATCTGCTAGCTAGCTTCCTGTTTGACAAAAGTCACGCTGGCCCACTGACCAATCAGGGTGCACGTTAATGCAGACGTACTTAGGAGGCTACCTGGGTACCACTGGCACGTCAAAGAATACGGCCAACATGTCAAACTAAAGATCTGATTGGTTGAAGACTATGACAATCAACAACATCGTCCCCATTCACTTAAAGTGCACATGGATTCACTTGTGAGTCTGCAGGCCTCGGCCTCTGGTCTTACCTAGAGACACAGAGGTGAAATCTGATTGGATAAAAGCTCTACTTAAAACAAGCTGCACTGGAAGCAGAGCAACTGAGGAAGACAGTAGCTGTGCAATGAGAACATAAGATAATGGGAAAAATATTATTATAAATTACAATACATGTTGTGTATTCATGAAAAACTATTAGATCATAAAATAGCTATAACTTTGTGAATCTGTTTAGGCCAGCAGAGAAGGCCTTGCTGGCCCTGACGGTTTGTCGGTTTGTCACATGATGTGTTCAAAGACCGTTGGAAAGATGAAAATCTGACGATAACGGGAGTTTTTACAGCTCCTGTCTGTGATGAACGGTGTAGTTTTGGTGATTGTTTAAAGTAGGATTAATAACAGAAGAACCTCCGTCTGTCCCCTTCAGAAGGTGGAGTCCAGCTTCCAGGCCTCCGCCATGATGGAGATGCACGTGGAAGGAGGAATGATGATGACTCAGCATATCGCTCACAAAACCCCCCCGAGGGTTCCCCCAAAGCCCGCCTCCAAGTCCCCCTCGTCCTTCGTTTCCAAAGTGACGGGAGGACGCCAGCAGTCTCCTTCACCTGTCCGTCACGTGAAGGGGCCGACACCCACACCTGTCAGGTACGACCTCTGACCTCTGAGAGCTAGTAACGTTAGCAGCACCGCTAACGGCTAACCAACGGAGGTTCACTTCAGTTACATTATGATGCCTTCAGGCTCTGCTCAGTGAACATGAGTACTGGCTGAAGGTACATTATAACGTTATCATGATGTGTTCACATGTCATCTGTAAAATGTAGTTTTAGTGATAAACTAGAATGAATCCAGTAGTTTGAAGGAGATGTTTATGAATATAAAACAGATATTAGAGATGAATTATGAGCTGTTTAACTTCTAATACGAGCTCTGAGCTCATTATTATACTTCATTAATAATGACTATAAAAATACAATCTTTTATTTCATTATCATTTGAATTGTGTGTTTCAATGAAGAACTAAAACATTATCAATTTCTATAACAAAGTAAAAATATAACATTTAGTATTTTCGATGGTTTACTGTCTTCAGGTTGAAATGATTTTTGGACGGTGGTAAAAATAACAAATCTGGATGCTTGTAGACCAGCTGCTATAATCAAACAACATAATCAACCTGTATCTACCAATATATATAATATATAATAATATATATTATATATATCATTATATTAGTGCTGGGCAACGATTACAATTTTTAATCGCCATTAATCGCATGTTTATTTTGCGATTAATCTCATTGTTATGCACAAAGTTCAATAATGAATTCAAAAGTAGTGTATTCCGCACTTTTATTTTAAAGTACTGCTATATGAACAAAAGGTCAATAGCATTTGGTGTAAACACTTTAAACACATCAGGTTCTTGTTAGCAGCAGTATTCCCTTTACATAGGAGCAGTTATAACACAGTTATAATGATTCTGATCATAGATATTCAGCCGGTGTTCATAACTTTATCTTCATGTGTAAGAGATGACATTTAAATATACTTCTTGAAACCTGCAAACCTATCTACGTCATGTTTTTATGTTTGTTAAATTATCAGTAGTGATAACTAAATGATGCTTATTATACATATTACAAACAAAACACTTTAAAAACTCTAAAACAATCATTTAAATGAATCATTTCTTTTTTCTTTTTTTGGTATTTTGGTCAGACACATATGCAACGCTGATTACCGTAATATGTGTGGTATTTGTTATAAATGTACGTTGGTACATAGAGGGTGATAAGAAGCTGTACATGGAGGGACTTAGGACCCAGGGGAATGTAGGTGAAGCATGGAACCTGTAGTCCAGGGGTCACCAACCTTTTTTAAACTGAGAGCTACTTCAAGGGTACCGAGTAGTATGAAGGGCTACTTATTTGATACAAACTTCCTGAATAACAAAGTTGCACAGATCACCTTAATAATAATAATAATAATAATAATATATGTGAAGAGACTGTTTGGTCACATGTCAGTTAATTATTCCTCACAATAATTATTAAGAATGATTTCCACAACAATGATGGTATAGCTACACATACATATTTAAACATGCAACTTTTATTTCTGTTAATCTGTTTCAACATTTGAAAGTCAGAGGTATCACATCGCTGATATTTTTGTATCATCACGTGATCAAAGCCGGTTACTTTTGCACATAGCGCCTGCTGGTGAATGATGCAGTGGTAATGTAGACATTTTGCGACCTCTGGGTCACCTTTGCATTGCGCAATGAAGCCTGCATGCCAGCCCGTCATCGCGGGAGCCTCGTCTGTTGTCACCGACACCAGCTTTTCCAACGGTACCTTTTTCTCCACGAAGAAACTAGTAACCAGTCTCGTCTATAGCCGAGCGGGAGATCCAACCCTCCGAGGACGGGGTGCGCTCGCGGCGCGCGTCTGCCGCCAACGGAAGCGCCCGCCATTCGGAACATGAAAACCTAGTGCGGTGCGGCGGCCTCGTCCTGGCTGTCCACCGTGCGCCTCCGGGTACCCAACTCTCTTATGACAAGAAATATTGTCATTTTAAAATCTACACTAGTGCAAGCGTTTTCCATTAAAAATGAACAGCAACTACAATTTTAGACAGACCTCCATGGTGACTAGTGCTATTTTTAGAACATGCCTTGCGGGCGACTCACGTGGTGCCTGCGGGCGACAGGGTGCCCGCAGGCACCGTGTTGGCTACCTCTGCTGTAGTCTGTACCGTGGCAGTAACCTACATGAGGAAGTTATGCTGAGTTAAGAGCAGTTTGTTCTCTCGTGCTTATACTAAGTTCATTTAAAAACACGACAATATGTGTTTTGATATTGTCACGTTTGATTCTGTAACGAGACGATTGTGTGCGTGTGTGTGTGTGTGTGTGTGTAAGACAGGAGGGGCCGACGGTTCTGGACCGGGCGTGTCACCCGTTAAGGGGGGGGGGTGCTGCCCGTTTCTTGTGTTAAAAATGTCCGCTTAATAATAAAAAAAACTGCGTTAACGTGCGATACAATAATCGTCAGCGTTAATTAATTAATGCGGTAACGCGATAATAACGCGTAAACTTGCCCAGCACTACATTATATATACAATAATATAATTAGTGTCGGCAGCTATGAAGCGACATCGTTGATCTCTTTCTGATCCTCATTGTGTCTCGTGTGCTCTACAGACCTGTCTCACCCGCCAGCAGACTGTCTGTCTCTCCCATCAGACCAGTGAAGTCTCCCATCATGACCAGGAAACTGGTGAGTTCATCAAGAGTTCAGGTAGCAGCAGCTTCTTCCTCCTCCTCTTCCTCCTCCTCCTCCTCTAACACTCAGACCTCCTCCTGCAGCTCTCCTCCTCTGCTGAGGTCCTTCCTCCATGGAAGCAGGCGGGCTTTGTGTCAGAGGCCAGTTACACCAGTATGACCAGTATGAGCAGTGTGAGCAGCTCCACTCAGCTCCACATGGAGAAGCACTGGGAGCAGCAGGTCAGCGCCACCAGAGAGGTGAGGGGGGGTGGAGCCTGATGGAGGGGTTACCTCATGACATGTCTTGATGACTTCATGACCTCATGACTTGATGACTTGATGGCCTCATGACTTCATAACCTCGTGACTTGATGACCTCATGACTGGATGACCTCATGACTTGATGACCTCACTGATGATTGTTTATTATAATGTATTAAACCCTTCTTCCAGTCCTTTGTGGGCGTGTCTCTGTCTCCAGACCTCCTGTCATGGGGGTCCTGAGCTCTGTGGTCTTGGTTCTTGTGTCTCCAGGCTGAGGGAGGGGTGAAAGCCGAGGCGGTGGCCTTAGTGGTGGCCGCCGTCGACCTGGCTCGGGTCCGCCGGCCCGAGCAGGCTGAAGAGGAAGAGGAGGAGGAGGAGGAGGAGGAAGTTGTAGAGATGAAGATGAAGGAAGAGAAAAGCGTTGTAGAGTTGAAAACACTTCCTGCTGAACCTCCTCCGGTCGTCGTGGCCGTGGTGGCCTCAGACCAGCTCAGGGTCCAGGTCTCTCAGGTTGGGAGGACTTGATATCAGACATGACGTCTAAAAAAATAAGAGTCTGACTTTTGTTAACCGCTGCATGAACTCTGTTGGTCACTTTAGATTCAGGGATCAACAGAATCCTCGTCTCCAGTTCCACATTTCACCGTTTCTAAAGTTTCTGTCCCCAAACATGAGCCGAGCCTCGAGGTAAGAAGAGAGGAGGAGCAGAACCTCCACCTCCTCATTCCACCTTTAACCCTCCCGCCTCCACCGTGTTCTGTGCTGTGATCCACTTCTTCCTTATATCATCACCTTGTCTAATATATCGTTTATTATAGTTTGTTTTCACCTGATTCACATTTAATGGACACGGTTATGATAAAAAACTTCTTCTCTCCGGCTTCGTAAAGAAATGATTTTTATATAAACTTCCTCTCCTTCTTCTTCTTCTCCTTCTTCTTCTCCTTTTTATTTTTATTCTCCTTCTTGTTCTTCTTGACCTCTGTGTTAGGAGGACCTGACTTCTGTGCTGGTCCTCAGCTGGACTTCTCTTTCTAGTTATTGTTCATCTTCTCTTTCTTCTTCTTCTTCTTCTTCTTCTTCTTCTTCTTCTTCTTCTTCTTCTTCTCCTACTTCTACGTGTCCCGTGTCGAAGAGTCCCTGAGCAAGACACTTAACCCCTAACGGCTCCCCGGGCGCCTGTCATAGGCAGCCCACTGCTCCCTGTACAGGGATGGGTCAAATGCAGAGACAAATCTCCCCCTTACCGGGATAAATATAGTATAATAAAATTAAAAATGAATTAAAAAATAATAATAAAATTCTTGTTCTTCTTGACCTCTGTGCTGGTCCTCAGCTGGACTTCTTCTCTGAACTTGAGAGTCCTTTTTTAGTGAAGTCGGTTAATGTGGTTCTCGTTGGTCAGGTTTCCATCGCCGGCTCTGCTATCGCCGCTCTGCAGAAGGAGTTGTCCTCGTCCTGTCACAGAAAGATCATCAAGCCCGTCAAGTCTCCCAGTCCGTCTCGTAGGGCGGTGGCGGTGGTGGTGAAGAAGCCCCTCCCATCGCCGTTCAGACAAGTCCTATATCAGTCTGAGTCCCGGGTGGTGAGCGCAATGAGTGAGGAGGAGTTTGAGGACTGGGAGCCTCAGGTTGGTCCTCCTTACCTTCACCTTCCTCCTTAATTTAACCCTGTGTGGACTGTCACCTGCGTTCAACCCTCTTCACCAAACACACGCTGCCCTTCATCATCCGCCTCACGAAGAATCCTCCTCATCCTCTTCCTGTCTTCATCCCTCTGTCCCCTCAGCAGGGTTTTTATCTGTCCTAACGGCTTCACCCCCCCTCCATCCTCACAGAACTCCACCGCTGATAAGCTCCTCCTCTTTTTCTGACTTTGACTCCTGTTGTTGTTGTTGTTTTTGTCTTCAGGAGGCAGCTGCTGTTCTCTCCAGAGCTCAGGATCCCGTTGTTCCTCCCACTCTTAGTGCTGTGAGTACTTCCTGTTTCTTTCCTTTCAAAAGAAAGTAACCACTATAATAAATGAAAGAGGTGTAATGAGGTATCTCTTGGCTCTGAGGATGCTGATGGTGGTCAGTCAGACATTTGGCTCCGAACTGTTAATGTGTCTGATACTTTGGTTTATGACCGAATACCTTCAGAACTAAAGACGTTCTGAAGGAGTCTGAAGGTGTATAAAGGTGCAAGAGATGCATGAAGTCTAAAGAAGTCTTAGTAAGACAGATGAAGTCTTAAGAAGACATAGGAAGATGCATGAAGTCTTAAGAAGACATAGGAAGACGCATGAAGTCTAAAGAAGTCTTAGGAAAACGGAAGAAGTCTTAAGAAGACATAGGAAGATGCATGAAGTCTTAAGAAGACCTAGGAAGACGCATGAAGTCTAAAGAAGTCTTAGGAAAACGGAAGAAGTCTTAAGAAGACATAGGAAGATGCATGAAGTCTTAAGAAGACATCGGAAGACGCATGAAGTCTAAAGAAGTCTTAGGAAGACGGATGAAGTCTTAAGACCACATATGAAGACGTATGAGCGCGTATAAAAGTCTCTGAAGGTCTCTGTTTCTCTGTTCAGGGCCTGAAGAACGTGACAGTGACGGAGGGCGAGTCGGTGACCCTGGAGTGTCAGATCAGTGGTCACCCAGCTCCAGACATCCTGTGGCTCAGAGAGGACTACAAGATCGAGACCTCCATCGACTTCCAGATCAGCTACGTGAGCGGCTTTGCCCGGCTGGTGATCCGCGAGGCATTCGCCGAAGACAGCGGACGCTTTACCTGCACCGCCACCAGCGAGTCAGGAACCGTCAGCACCTCCTGCTACCTGCTGGTCAAAGGTGACTTTTAGTTTGGACTTTTAAAGAGTACATCAAGAGAAACTGATTCATTACTCTGGTCACTTAGATACAACTTTAATTTAGTTTTTCTCTTATTTTAGTCATTTATTGTCAACACAAACAAAAAAAATGTTTATTTCATTTTAGTTTTTCTTTGATTGCGCAATTTTAATTTCCATGTCTTCTCACTATAGACGACTGAAAGTCACGTTAACGTTCATTTCCTTTGTTTTCATGGTTTCTTTCAGCTGTTTATTGCTGTTTCCTGTTTGATTTTTAGCTGAATTTAGTCCATAAATCTGTCAAATGTTTCCTTTGAAGTCACATTTTGTCATAGTTTTTTTAAAGTTATTTTTCTTTTCTTTTCTTGAGGAGAAATCAACTCTAGTCTCAATAAAAACCAGCTCAGCTCTTTAAATGATGCTGTATCTGAGTGATGATACTCTTTTACCATCTACTGTAACATTTTTATAAACATAATTCAAACTTGCACAAGTCAGCAAATCTTAACAAATGTAGTCAAACCATTTTTAGCTTTTAGCTTGTGAGAGCAGTGCTGCTAAGTCTTATGAAAATGCATATTATAAAATAATATATATATATAAACTGCATAAAAAATCCAAGATATTTATACTTTAAATAATTATTTTTTAATGAGGTTGTTTGCATGTTCCTTTTGTAGCCTTTTAAACAGAAACACTACATTACCATCAAAGAGTGAAACAGATTCAAATCGATTATTCTGTTGATTTTAGAGATAGAGATAGAGATTTAGGTAGCACTTTATAATAACTACACACTATGAAGCATTAGTTAAGTATGAGTAAACACTTAATTCATCATTTACAACTGTTATGAACTGCATATTAATGAATTATTAATGTAGGAACAATGCTTTATAAATGATGAATTAAGTGTTTACTCATACTTAACTAATGCTTCATAGTGTGTAGTTATTATAAAGTGCTACCGAGATTTAAACTAATGCCTGCGTTAAAAGTCATAAACTGTATTTATGATATTTTCCTCACACAGCTTGTTTTCTCTGTTTAGTGTCGGAGGAAATTGAGAGTAGAGAGGAAACGATGACTGTCACTCAAACTGGAGTCGCTCAGGAGAAAAGGTGAGTAGTGAAAGTCTGACATAATATACAACATACGTAATATAAATGTAATATACGTAATATAAATGTAACATACCTA